AGGCAAACTTGGGGAACATTGATCCTAGGTCCTATCTCTGAGTTCTGTTTACTCTGTGTTCATTTCCCTTTTCTCCTTCTTGTAGTAAACCCTTGTGTGGTTTATTGGGGGGGGGGGGGTTGAGAGAGAGAGAGAGAGAGAGGGAGAGACAGAGAGAGACAGGCAGAGAAAGAGAGAGAGAAAAAACATCAATTTGTCGTTCCACTTATCTATGCATTCATTGGTTGCTTCTTGTATGTGTCCTGACGGAAGATCGAACCCACAGCCTTGGCTTATCAAGACGACGTTCTAACCAACAGAGATACCTGGCCAGGGCTAAACCCTTGTTTTAAAGGGCCAGCATGACCTCAGAAAGTTCCAGGGTTCACAAGGATTTTATACCCACTCTTAAGCCAAGATCTTCGAGGGGGCACAAAGCGTCCTCCTAGGCCCATGGAAAGCCCGTGAGGGCCCCAAGGGAAGGTGTCCTCGGACACACTGTGAGGCTCTGGTTCAGGTGCCCAGCATGGAAAAGTGTTCAGAAGCCCTGGGGGCAAGGCTGGGAGGGCATGGGAAAGCATTCCCTTCAAGGACTCCTTCTTTAGAGGAGCAGCATTTTTCACAGGCGATTATTATACCATTACCATTGATGAAGAGATTAGAGGGAGCCCTGGGAAAGCCAGACCTAGAGGCACAAAGAGAAGGTAGCTGAAGAGAGGTTTTTTCTTCACCCCACTCCCACTGCTGGTACACATCACAAGACGCGCCCTACCCCAAACTCTGGAGGACCCTCAGAGGATCTGGTTCCAGCCCCACCTTCCTGCATTGCCAAACTCAGAAGGTTGGGGGTGCAGGGCGGGGGGAGCCTATTTTACTAGAGAAGGAGGCAGTTTCTTCTTTTTGTGATAGTTTGGCAACATCAAGCACAAACCCTCTTCTGCACCTCCTCCCTCTAAGTGGGCTGCCAGATTTAAAAAAAAAAAAACAAAGACAAGCCACATACCTGCTTAAATTTGCATTTCAGAAAAATGAACCACTTTTTAGCATACATATACTCCAAATATCACATGGGCCATGTTGTTGTTTTTTTCTCCATTGCTTTTTTTTTCAGAGAGAATGGAAGGGAGGGAGATAAGGAAGGAGGGAGGGAGGGAGGAAAAGAGAAAGAGAAAGAGAAAGAGAAAGAGAGAAAGAGAGAGAGAGAGAGAGAGAGAGAGAGAAGTGTGAGAGAGACACATCAACTGGTTACCTCCCACACATGCCTGACTGGGAGTGGGAGCAAACTGGCAACCCAGGTGCGTGTTTAACTTGATGGTCCTTATTTTATCTCAAAAAACTACCTTTAAGGGTGTGGCCAGACCCTATAGGGACATTCCTCTGAAGTCTTCACTGCACTTCTGCTCTGGGCAGCGGACTCAGCAGCTTTTGTTCCCATTCAGAGAACTCCAATGAGAAGCAAACGTTATCAATAGCCATCCCCTACCCAGGCAGCCTGGAGATGGAGTCACCGCTAAGGCAGAAGTGGGGGCAGTGCAGGGCCCACCCTGGAAGGCTGCCATTCTTTCCAAAGAGAATTTAAGGAATGGGGCTCAATCCCCAATGTGGGGGGGCATGTAGGAAGCAGCTGATTGATGATTCTCTCATCATTAATGTTTTTAACTCTCTCTCCCTCTCCTTTCCGCTCTGAAATAAATAAAAATATATTTAAAAGAAAGAAAAGAAAAGGGCCCTGCCAGCATTGCTCAGTGGTTGAGCGTCGACCCATGCATCTAGAGGTCTCGGGTTTGACCCCCAGTCAGGGCACATGCCTGGGTTTCAGGCTTGATCCCCAGCGGTTTGGGGGCAAGGAGTGTGCAGGAGGCAGTCAATTGATGTTTCTCTCTCTCTATCTCCCTTCTCTCTTTAAAATCAATAAAAACATATTTTAAAAAAGAAATGTGGGAGGGAGGAGTAGGGGGATTAGAAAGACAAAAGATGGGTGGAGGTGGTACACTCAGTAACTGACACCAAAATTCAGATCTCCCGTTCTTTATGCGCAACTCTGAACTCACCGGACCAGCGTTCAAGGCTCTTACTCCGAGGCATGTCCACCCATGTCCTGCAAATGTGTTTGTGAAATGCTATCATCTGCTAGAACCCCGGCCATGTGCTGAATTTATAGGGGTTTTTTTTTTGGTTTTATTTTTTAATTTGGAGCAAAGATAGTGGGAGAAGAAAGCAGAGATTCTCGGGTGAACTGCCTTTACATGACCTGCAAACCTTAAAGAGACACACGCTAAGGCTGCGACCCCATCATCCCCAAATCCCACAGATGGCTGGCCAATAGGATGGTCCTGCTTCCCAAACCCTCAAACTCTAGATCCACACCCTAGAACAGCGGTTCTCAACCTGTGGGTCGCAACCCCTTTGGGGGTCGAACGACCCTTTCACAGGGGTCGCCTAAGATCGTCGGAAAACACACATATAATGACATATTGTTTTTGTGATTCATCACTATGCTTTAATTATGTTCCATTTGTAACCATGAGAATATATCCTGCATATCAGATATTTACATGACGATTCATAACAATAGCAACATTACAGTTACAAAGTAGCAACGAAAATAATGTTATGGTCGGGGGTCACCACAACATGAGGAACTGTGTTAAAGGATCACAGCAGTAGGAAGGTTGAGAACCACTGCTCTAGAAGCAAGCAACCCCCATGTTAACTGGCCTGAAGAATTCAATCTGAGGAAGAACACACTCCCCAGGGTACACCCAAGGCCGCCTGGGCGGTGCGCTAAGAAAGGAGCCCGGCTCTGTCTCCGAGAGGCTGGGTTCTGCATGAGGAGGCGAGATCGCCGTCGGTTAGAATGACGGGCTCGGGCCTCAGAGGGACAGAAGTGTATATCCAAGCTCTACTGCTCGCTAGCTGTCCACTGATGGGCCAGGAACGAAACCAGGGCCTCGGTTTCCTCGGGTATAAAATGGAATAGAGTTAAGGACCTGTGTCATGGGTTTGTTTCAAAGATGAAAAGAGATAATGCATGTAAAGCCCTTCACACGGTGCCCAACACACAGTCATGGGCTCAATACGTTTTTTTCAAGTTTGTGTTTACACCTAAGAATCATTTCCTTGTTTGGCAAAGAGCCTTGTCTCCACGTCCAAGTCTCTCCCATGGAAATTAGGCTTGTGGTTCTCTGAGCTGAGTACAGACATCCAGGTACCCCCAGGCCTTGGAGGAAAATGTTAATAAATCCTACCCACATACAACAGAGTCCAATGCTTCGGAGACTCAGAAGTGAATTGCTTTGCCCATCAACGCACATGAGCCAGCCTATTATGGTGGATGAATGCAGAGATATCCTAAGACCTGAGAAGCTTGGAGAGAATGGGGCCTGGAGACCCGAGACCTTGAAGACTAATCTAGTTACCTGGAGCTCTTCCAGATGAGAGGTCACTGAACTACGTGTATGCCAGAAACACTTAGGCGTGCCTCTCTACCCAGAAATGATGCCACCTCTTACCAATGCTTTAGCAGATAAACACTTTCAGATAAAGGGCATTGATAAGCCTAACATGAAACCATGGCACAATTTTAGGAAGGACCATAGGCAATTACTAGTATGTAAGCAGGCAGGAGCTGGAGTTAGGCAAACCTGTATCTGAATCCTGGCAATTAAAAGCTGTGTGATCTCAAGCGAGTTACCTAATTCCACTGAGTTTCAATTTCCTCATACGTTAATTGGGGATAGTTATAGTATCTACCTGACATGGGTGTGGGGGAAGTTAAATAAAAGCCTATGTGTAAAGTCTTGGGACATCGTAAATGCTATTATTGCTATAAAACCCATGGCTTATGAACCTAGAGAGAATATGAGGTTATAGTTAACTGAGGTTTCACCAAGAATAAATCATGTTAAACCAATCTCATTTTTTAAATACCAGTAGAGTTATTGAGCATGTTATACCCATGCATGCATCGCTGACTCTTGATTTTAAACTAACTAGTCGATTAAGTGGTCAAATGTAAGACGGAGAGCAGTCCACTTGGGTGGACCTGTTTAACAGAATGCCATGAGGTTCTGTTCTTACCTTTGTCTGATCTAACATTCTTATTAAATGTTGGAAAAAAGATGCAGAAAACACCATGCTGGAGAGGCAAGCCAATCCACCGGCATGAAGATTAAAATTTACCTTACCAAAAGCCAACAAAATGAAATGAAAGAGGCCCTAGCTGGTTTGGCTCAGTGGATAGAGCGTTGGCCTGTGGACTGAAGGGTCCCGAGTTCGGCTTAGGTCAAGGGCACTTGCTCAGGTTGCGAGCTCAATCCCTAGTAGGGGGTGTGCAGGAGGCAGCCAATCAATGAGTCTCTCTCATCATTGATGTTTGTATCTCTCTCTCCCTCTCCCTTCCTCTCTGAAATCTATAAAAATATATATTTTTAAAAAATAAAATGAAAGAGGATATTGTCTTACATTCAAATAAATACAAAAGGAGTCGATGTTACAAGATGAAGGAAGACCGGTGGAGGAGTGATTCATATGGCAAGACTCATGCATGCTTGCATGCATTTATTTATTAAGAGTCATTCATTCACTCAATAACTATAGGAGTATCCACTCCAGGCCAGCCACTACTGGTGATGAAAAGACATAATTATAAAGATGAAAAGACATATAAATCTCTGCTTTCAAGGAGAATCTTGTCTAGTGAGAAGACAGACCTGGAAATGGGACAGCACAGCAAGAGAGGAAAGATCACCTAATGCTGCTTTACAGCAGTGATACTGAAATAAGACTCGGTGGATCAGCAGGCATTTGCCAGATAACCTGACACAGGCAGGAACAGTTTCCTAGGTGGACTTTGCAGAACACACAGAGGCCCTGAGACAGAGCTGACTGTTCTGGTTGACCCTCGACAATTACTTTGCATGCACATTTGGGATCCGGAAAAAGTCAGATGCACAGACACATCAGGCCTCTCGCCTCACATTCCCAGCTCAGGTACACTCCTGGACACATCTGCGTCTTACCATAGGTGATGATAAGCAGCTTGAAGTTGAGGTTTTTGAAGAGCCGGATGATGGGATTTAAGTACGAAGTTTCCGGTACTAAGGAATAGCTCAGGGATTGGGCCCTGCTGGGGGGATGTTTAGGCTTCTCCTTGAATACTGAAAGGAAAGAAACAGAGAGATCACTGAACATCCCTGTGGTCACAGCCCAGCAGAGTTACACGTGGACAAGAGCTGGCTCCATCACCCGAGAAGGAGCTAGGATTCAAAAGGAAACGTTACTTCTTCAATGATATCCTTTACAGCTTCCTCTCTTGAAGCTGCTTTTCATTGTCTATGGCTGAGTGTGTGGTCTGTTGATTACTTTTTCTTAATGGCCTCTGGATGACTGCAATCATTGGGGCAGAGTTCAAGGATCAAGGAGTCCTTAATGTTCGGGGCAGAAATATAAGATTGGGGACTAGCTATTCGTTATAAGAAATAAAGTAAGAAATATTAATCATGCTCTGTTTACCAGGATTATTTTGTTCTGATTAAAGAAAGCACATTCTGGAATATAATGACCAACATAAACTGATGAACAAAAATAGACCCAGACTATCAAACCTCAGAGGGAAGGCAGGGCAGCAGGGCAGGCGGTGGGGAGAGGGGGGTCAAAGTGTAAGAGATCAACCAAAGGACTTGTATGCATGCATATAAGGATAACCAATGGACACAGACAGTAGGGGGGTGAGGGCATGTGCTGGGGGGTGGGAGTGGCTGGGGGGAGGGTAATTGGGGGAAAAGGAGACATATGTAATACTTGAAACAATAAATAATTCAAATTTAAAACAAACAAAAAAAGAAAGACAGCACAGTCTAACCTGGCTGGGAGTTGTACGCCCTGGGACATGGGAGCTAACATTGGAATACAGTCCATCCTCCTTCCCGGAGAACTGCCCATCATTATGGAGAGATTTACAACCTTGTGGCTGAAGCAATCTAGTCCTGGAGGCACCTGCTCTTCACAACCTCCAGCCCCTATTACCTGTAAACTGGTCCCGGGGTGCCCGGAGGCACCCACCCTCTGAGATACCCCCTCCCCAGCCCACATGACTTATAACCTGCAATTATTATACCACGCCTACTTTCCCATGCCTGTAATTCCTACTTTCCCACATAATCTTTGTCCTTCTACCCAACATAAGCAGCTGGCTTATGGGGAGAGGCAGAGCAGATTTTTGTGGATGACCCGCTGCTCTCCCATACTGCTGGCATTACTGGAATAAACGCTCATATATGATTCAACCCTGTCTCTGCTTAATTGGCTCAAGTGGTGACAAACAGCCCGGACCCCTTGGTTGTCCAGTTACAATAAAAGCCAGGAACAAACACACTGCCGAGCACTGAAAAACACACAATAGTCACACATGGAGAGAAAGGACATGAGAGCTGAGGCTTTAGGATGAGTGAGCCCGGTTCATGACCTAGCACCCGAGCTCCTCCTGAGGGGGAGGAGACTGTATTGCCTGTGCCTAGCACATAGCCTGGCACAGGACAGTCAATATATATTCCTAAGTGGAAGGAACTTCTAGTAGAAAAACCTGGAGTCCATTCCTAGTTTTTAAAAATCTGAATCAGACATCTTCCTCACAGAGCCTTGAGCCTTGAGCAAGCATGTCAAACTCCCGGCCCACGGGCCGCATGCGGCCTACAACGAATATTTTCGCAGCCCAGCCAATATAACGGTATGTAAGAAACATTTTAATAAAAATTTCATAACTTAACTTTTACAAATCCTGTTATAGATAATTATCAATAACAAACAATTCAACTTTTGCTAATGACTGATTACTATAATCGTGTTGCATTCATTTCCCTCACATGCCTTACGTGCAGGCGCACCATTTCTCTCCACTAATACTAGCAGCAAATATTTTAGCAGCCGACTGCCACGTCATTAGTCTTGTACTGACTTGTTTGGTATGTGCAACAGGAAATATTTCGCTTTCGGAGAACAAGAAAAATAGGTTTATGTGCGTTACGCTTATTAATCTGTGTAGTTATTCAGTGTCTGGTAAGTTAATGTTCAAGAAAAACTATTCATTTTTATTAAAATGTTGTATTATTTTGTGTTAACAATTACTCATTTATTTCAGCCCTTTGTATTCAGCATGTCTCTATCAAAATAAACCTACGTTTCTATAAAAATTGAAGCTTTTGGTTTTTTGTGGCCCACGTAAACTTACGCTTGTTTATTTGACCCATGTTAGCCTTTGAGTTTGACATGCCTGGCCTAGACAGCAAACGTACCTCCATCAGATTGAGGATGTTTTTAGCAAAGGCCAGCTTAGGAGTACCCTAATTAAGTTAATAACAATGTACCTACCCATATAGTTTAAGTTTAAAAAATTTGGCTCTCAAAAGAAATTTCAATCGCTGTACTGTTGATATTTGGCTCTGTTGACTAATGAGTTTGCCGACCACTGGTCTAGAGGATTAACACAGCCTCCTATGGGAGTGGCTACTCTGATGTGAAGGACTGGGGCGGGGCAATGGGGAAACCATTCCTTTATAATCTATTTTCAGTACAACTGGTACCCTCCATGTAACTGCATTGCCGCTATTCAGTTCTCTGGAGGGCAGGTCAGTTTAACCAGTTTTTTTGGCTGAACTGGTTCCCCAGTTGGGTCCAAGCAGGCACCATTGGGCCTCCCCTCACTCATTCCTATTCCAGTTAAAGGAAGCTCTGGAAACATGGTTTAATGTCTCCCCCTCCCCTGGCCCTGCCCCTTCAGAAAACCCTCCAGCCCTGACTACAGAGCCCTGCTTCTTTCCTCCTTTTTTTAAAAAAGGTTTTTATTTTTAATCTTTATTGTTGAGAGTATTACAGATGTCCCCATCTCCTCCCCGAGTGCACTCCCCACCCAGTTCCTCCCCACCCCATTCCTTCACCACCCTACTGTCTGTGTCCATGGGCAATGCATACAAGCACAAAAATTCTTTGGTTGGTCTCTTCCCAGTCCTGCCCTTCCCTCTGAGATTTGTCATCTGTTCCTGTTGTCATGCCTCTGGTTCTAGTCCATTTATCAGTTCATTTTGTCGTTAGGTTCCACATATAGGTGAGATTATGTGATATTTGTCTTTCTCTGACTGGCTTGTTTCACTTAGCCTATCTCCAGAGCCCTGCTTCTTTCTTCTCCAGGAGTCCTGGGTCATTTCCTCCTGGGTGACTTCCTGCTGTTGGGAACCTCTCATTCACTGTCGTGGCTGTTTGCCTCCGCTTCCATCAGGGTAAAGAAAGAAAGCAAGGCAAGGGAGTGATCCTGCCACAGCAGGTGCTTGCTTCCGATAAGACCTTTCAGTCTGTGCTTGATAATAAAATGCCAAAATGTAGAAATGCTCTACCTCTAGGATTTCAGCTGCAAAGAACCAGGCCCTCACCTGCCACAAACACAAGAATCTGGAGCTGAGAACATTCCAATTTGAAACTTAAAGTCTGGCTGAGTAAGAGGATCCCTGGCTGGATTGTTCTTTCCTGTTCTCACTCACAGCTCTACCGCTTCTACCTTCCCAGGCACCGCGTCCTCTGTCCACGACATCCTGCCTGCTCTTAGGGGCCTCCAGGCAGCTCTTTCTCAGCGTGGACCCAGGAGGGAATGACAAGGTGAGAACAGTTGAATGAAGTAGATGATTATAAAACTGACTCTGGAGGTGAGGCCAGAAGAAAGGAATGAAAAGAAACCTTTAACATGAGTGAGTGAAACTTTCAGGTATTAGGAAGAAAACTGGTTAACCTTTAGACGGGTGACTAACTGAAAATGAAAACCTTTACTCTGCTGTTTCTGAATTTATCACTGCCCATATAGTATCACTCAGATTATAAAAGAGGACATAAAATTATATTGTCCATCAGTTGTATGGTGATGAATGGTATCTAAACTTGTACCAATGATCACTTTAAAATATATACAGTTGTCAAATTAGAATACTGTACACATGAAACATATAATAAAAGAATTTTAAAAATTATATTAACCAAATATCTCAGTGATTAAATATACCTTTCTATAAAATGAATAATAGCTATCTGAGGTTGGGATTAACTTGTTCAAGGCTAAATTAATGGTCATGCTTTTTGTATTTTCTAAATTTTTTCATAATGAGAAAACATTACTCTTATAATCTTTTTAAAGAAAAGCATTAAAATTGTGGTACCCAGGTATTCTCAGGTGAACGTATGAGATTATTAGTGTTTATGGGTTAATTCTGTTTTGTTTAGTTCCAGAAATTTAGAGTATGGCCTTTCACAAGTTTAGGCTTAAATCCAATCTCTGCCACTTAAGGACTACTGAATCTGGAATAATTTATTCACCTCCCCTAAGTCTTCCTTTTTGTTAAATGGGACTCATAATGGTACCTTCACTCATAGGGTTGCCGAGGCTTACGTGAGATCGAGCATGAACAGCACAATGCCTGTGCTGTCATACGTGCTCATGGGGTTTCACCAAGGGGATCAACAGCCTGACCATTAATTCTTGTGAGGCCACACGGGGAACGGTTTAATTACAATCAAACCTTTACTGAGCCACTAGCAAAGTGCACAAGGCTAGCTAACACCCTATCGGGGGCAACTGCTTAAGCTAAAGCATTTGAAGACTATTAGAAACCTGGCCTTCAGTTTCTGTAAGTGTCCACCATATTCTAGAGCAGTGGTTCTCAACATTATGGCCCTTTAAATACAGTTCCTCATGTTGTGACCCAACCATAAAATTATTTTCGTTGCTACTTCATCAATGTAATGTTGCTACTGTTATGAATCGTCATATAAATATCTGATATGCAGGATGGTCTTAGGTGACCCCCATGAAAAGGTCATTCAACCGCCAGAGGGGTTGCGACCCACAGGTTGAGAACCGCTGTTCTAGAGCCATGTGCACAAGGGCCCCACCGAAGCCAGTAGAACCTCCCTACCTCCCCACCCCTAGCAGTCTAATGAACTTACCAATGATGACAAGGATGAAAAGCAGGGTGGCAACAGCTGCTATTATGTAGAACATGATGCTGATGTGGTAGGCAAGCTTGTCCTTGTCTTTGGAATTGGGCACCAGAACAGGAGGGACCAAGAACCCAATCGCAATTCCAACCTATAGAAGACAGAGAGAGTCAATTTTAGTTACCAATGTCCAAGAGATGATGGCACAAGTTTAAAAAGATTCCTAATAAGAAACACAATCCCAGCCCAGCTGGTGTGACTCAGTGGTTGAGCATCGATCTATGAACCAGGAGGTCACAGTTGGATTCCAGGTCAGGGCACAGGGCCGGGTTGCAGGCTCAATCCCCAGTGTGCGCATGCAGGAGGCAACCAATCAATGATTCTCTCTCATCATTGATGTTTCTATCTCTCTCTTCCTCTCTGAAATCAATAAAAATGTATTTTTTTTAAAGAAAAAGAAACACAATCCCAGTATTTCTTAAAAATTTAACAGGGGCCGAGACCGGTATCAATAAAAATATATATTTAAAAAAATAAAAAATAAAAAATTTAACAGGGACATTTCCTCCTCAAGATATCAGAGAGAGCTTTCTTTTTATTGACACCTCAATGCACACACACCCCTGACCACCCTCACCATCAATACCTGTTGAAAAAAATTATAGTTGGGACCCTGGCTGGCGTGGCTCAGTTGTTTGGGCGTCACCCGGTGCACCAAAGAGTAGCTGGTCCAATTCCCTGGCCAGGGCACATGCCCAGGTTGTGGGCTCAATCCCTGGTAGGGGTGTGCAGGAGGCAGCTGATCAATGTTTCCCTCTCACATCAATGTTCCTCTCTCTCTCTCTCCCTTCCTCTCTCTCTAAAAAATCAATTTAAAAAATAAAAATCATAGTTGGTGTTCTCAAGACAGGATGGCTCTCCTGCAGCTGCACACCAATGAACAATGGTTCCTATACTCCAGTCTCCATGGTACAGTAAAACAATGTTGACTTTTTTGTGTGTCATTTAAATTCTTGATTTCACTGACTGTTAACCAGAAGCTCAGAGACCAGCTTGGGGAAAGTTGAAAACTTCTACACCCTATAATTCCAACAGCTTGCATTCAGTAAGACGCAGAAGCCTAAAGTTATTACCACATTTACAAACGTGAAAGCTTAAGTTCATTGTGTAAATAATTGAGCAACTGACAAGGTATCTGTACTATAAAGTCATATGCAATTGCATGCATCTATACACACAGGATATGGGCAAACTGGCTATGAACACACACACACACATACACACACACACACACACACATCAACAAATTAAATCAGTGGTCGCCAACTGGTGGTCTGTGGACCACTAGTGGTGCGTGAGGTCCGAAAGATTGGCGACCGCTGAGTTAAAGCATCTCATATTTGCCTTGGAGTTCAAACTCTATTTAGCCTGACAGATAATTGACTTGGAT